TGTCCTATCCAGTAATTCCTTGAAGAGCTGGAAGTTTGCATTCCTGAAGTTCAGGGTCCTGACTCTGCTTTTTGCCAGGCCCATATTCCTCAACATTACAAACTCCACCAGGGCATGGTCACTACAGCCCAGGCTGCCTCCAATCTTGACCTCTCTGCTGCTCTCCTCTGCATTGATGAGCACCAGGTCTAGTAACACTTCCTCTCAGGTCGGTCCATCTAATATCTGGACCAGGAAGTTATCTTCAGTGGACTCCAGGAGTCTCCTGGATGGTTTGCACCCCACAGTGTTGTTATCCCAGCAGATATCTGAGTGGTTGAAATCCCCCAGCAGGAGAAGAGCCTGAGAACGTGACACCTCTTGCAGCTGAAGCAAGAAGGCCTCGTCAACAGGTTCTCCCTGATCAGGTGGCCTGTAGTAGATTCCAACCACTAGATGTCTTTTGCTGGACAGATCCTTGATTTTAGCCCATAAGCTCTCAACCTGGTCATGGCTGTTTCTCAGACGCAGCTCTTCGCAATCTGTCCACTCGCTAACGTAGAGGGCAACTCTGTCTCTCCTCCTACCCCGCCTGTCCCTTCTGAAAAGCCTGTAGCCCTCAATCACAGTATTCCAGTCATGCGATTCAACCCACCATGCTTCCGTAATAGCAGTTAGGTCATACTTTTCTAATTGCGCCACAGTTTCCAACTCCTCCTGCTTATTTCCCATGTTGTGTGCGTTGGTATAGAGGCACTTCAGCTGAGCTATTGGCCTCATTACCTTCTCAGAGGAGCCCTTCCTAATACCTCTGGGACAAATCTGGGGTTTTCCCCCGCTGCTGCCCAAGGCGACAGCATTTCTTCTCTCTTGTACATCACACAGTGCATCCCCTCCCCCCATTGTGTCTAGTTTAAAGCCCTGCTAATCAGCCCAGCCAGGTTCCTCCCTAGAATATTCTTGGCCCTTCTAGCCAGTCTCATCCTATCTGATGTCAGTATTCCCCATTTCTCAAAGCTATTCCCCAGATCATAGTGCCCAAACCCCTGAGTGTGACAGCATCCCTGAAGCCATTCATTCAGCCTGTCTGTTTTCCTCCTTCTGTCTGGGTCCCAGTCTCCAACCAAGAGGAGAGAGGAGAGCACTATTTGTGCTCCCGATCCTTTAAGCTATTTCCCAAGCATCCTAAAGTCCCTTTTGATTGCCGTTGGGCTTCTTTTACCTACCTGTTCATTGGCAACATGAAAAACTAGTAATGGGAAAGAATCAGAGGGTCTTACCAGGTGGATGATGCTCCTAGCAACATCTCTCACCCAGGCCCCAGGCAGGCAACACACTTCCCTGTGGGATGGGTCTGAGCGGCATTTTGGGCCTTGGTTCCACTGAAAAAGAAGTCCCCTATGATGACAGCCCTTTTTTTTTTTTTTTTGTTTTGATTGATGATATGGTGATACGGGGGGTAATCTGACTCGTCCCAGGTGACCCCTCTAAGACAGATGGACCTTCATCCTCATTGACATCCCCCCGTCTCTCCAGCTCCAGAGCCTCACACCTATTGTGTAAGGGCACCTGGGAAGGTGAGAGAGGTTGAGAGAGGGTCTGCCTGCTGCACCGCACAGGAACTTGTCTCCATCCTTTGCAGTCTCTTAGGTCCCCTCCTCCTGTCTGACTGTGAGTGGGTAAACGATCTGCCACTACTTGCAGAACATCTCCTTGGTGCCTTTCTTGTAGGGATGGCACAGTGTGACTCCACCAGTCTATCTCCCTCTCACAATCCCTGCTGCTCCTCAACCTTTCCACCTCCTTTAACTCCACCACCAGGCTGAGCAGATCATCCACCTGCTTGCACCACACACAGGTGGTATCTCTGATGCTCTCTTGTAGCAGTGACAGGCTCAGGCGCTCTTCACAGCCTGAGACCTGAACAGCTGCGTGGACATATGTGCTTACCGTCGGAGTTGCCACGTTCTTTTTGGCAACAGCTCGCCTCCACGTAGAGACCATGGCCTAGGTGCTTCGAAAAGCAATGACCTGTTAAGTGTGCCCAGGTGGCCAAGAAGGCCAGCAGCATCCTGGCCTGTATCAGAAACAGTGTGGCCAGCAGGACTAGGGAAGTGATTGTGCCCCTGTACTCGGCACTGGTGAGGCCGCACCTTGAA